CTCATTTTAATTTATTTAATATTAATTTATTTAACTAACCAATTATTCTATCCTTTATTTAGGAGTAAGAAATCAACGATTTTATTTTATATTTTCATTTACTTGATATTAATTTAATTAACTAATCGATTTTATTTAGGTTGTAAGAAATCAACGAATTTATTTTACTTTTTCATTTTAAATTATTTGATATTAATTTATTTAACTAATTCATTGTTCTATTCTTTATTTAGCTAGTAAAAAATCAACGATTTTATTACACATTTTTTTTCGTTTTAATTTTTTTTGATATTAATTTACTTAACTAATCCATTATTCTATTCTTTATTTAGATTGTAAAAATCAACGATTTTATTTGCATTTTAGGTAAGACATCGACCATTAGAACTGGCTTTTTGAATTTATTATAATTATTTTATACTTTTTTATTAGATATCAATATACTGTATTTAATGCAATTTCTTACCATTTGTCTGATAAAGATAATAGGTAAGAAATGATAAGGCTCGGCTTTCTTTTTTATTTGTTTAATTTTTTTTTATTTTTGTATAGTTTTCGTCACTATAAAGTTTGTGGAATAACACACAATCCTTCAAATGGAGAATACTTTTTAGCTCGCCCTGCTGTAGACCTTGGTGATCTGCGACGTTGTCTACGAAAGCAATTTCTTGGAATGACCGCATACAAGTACTATATGATATTTGTACTCATCTTCATTTTATTCATTCACAAGGTATTATACATGGTGACCTGCATGCATCCTGGAAATATTCTTCGATCAAGGAAAGATGTTACTACAATCTGTAATTTTGGTGCTGCAATCCGACAAAATTCCATTAAGGAAAAAGGCCAAAGATTTGGTGTGATGCCATACGTTGCACCAGAGGCTTTCCGAGGAGAAGTATTCAGCATGGCATCAGATGTCTATGCATTAGAAATGGTTATGTGGGAGTGGTGTGTCGGTAAACGTACCTTTGATGTTAATTTAGCTTTTATATATGTGATGCTTGCGACCAGAATTACCTGAAGGATTACCTGACTTTTACTGCGACTTGATTGTACGTTGTTGGCATCATAATCACTCACAAAGACCAACTTCCAAAGAGATATGCAAAATCGTTAAAAAATGGCATCGAGATAAAACTACAAAAACGGAAAAACGACAAATAGACGCTGCTGAGAAATTCAGAATTGCAAACGCATTAAATTATGATTCTGAAGAAAGTTACACGACGCATCCCTTGGCAGTATACACGAGCAAAGTTTCGCCGAAAGTGGATCAGGAAGGTTGGTATTTTTCAATACTGTTTTGAATAATCTTTTCCTATCAATCTAATAAAAAAAATTTCAATTGACACAGGTAACGTTTTGTTTCAAATGGTTACCTTTCAATTTAAGAATTTGTATCGAATATTAATTCTACAAGTGTTAGCTTGTATGTTCCAAATGAAGGTGAAGCACTATATACACCATGTTTTTTTATTAAAATATTGGTTTATATAAATTGTTTGTAGGATATGTAACCACGGAACATGATATAGATATCGATACAAAATCGGCAAACGCCAGTTTATATATATCTAGCGAAGCAAATGAAGGTAAAATTATTAAATACATGTATACCAGAAGTATATACAGTAATATTGATATCAAATATTTAGACTCTGGATTGCATGTTCCGAACGAAGGTAGATTTATATTTGATATTATTGTTTTATCAATTTATTTAATTCATTAATTTCTTTGGTAATTAAAAAAAACAGATTTAGACATTAGTATAGCATACGAGGTTGAATGATACTGGGCAGTTGCAGAAACACCAAAGCAAAATAAAAATAGACGATTCAACTTTTAGAACAATATTCGGATTCATCAAAAGAAATTGATAGCTGTTTTTTATTATAATGTTTATAAAAATTTTAATTTGCTAGTTGAATGTTAACGCACTTTTTTGTTTATCACCTCTGCTTAGAACAAACAGGGTCGTGTTAACGTTCGTTGAGTATTTTCAGAACATAGCATGTAAACTAAATGCATGTAAGTTACATTTATATATATATAAACTCGTGATAAGAACAGTAAATTAATAAATAGAGAGTGGAAAAATATCTGTCATAACTTAAATAACGAGCATTTCATTGTTGACGTCCTCAAAAACAAACTATACAACATGATAAAATGTAATGCGCCCTAACTCAAAATGTAGCACCAGAGGAAATAGTAGAATCAATGGTTAAAAATTAATTATACATTATCTCGATATTAATTAGTGATGGGCGTGTGTCAATAACGATAATGTAACCCCAGAAATTCTTATAAAAATTTCTACCTTGTACATGTACAGTTACATTTAGTAATAACATTAACGCCGCCGCTTCCCAAAAGTAAGAAATATCTTATTGAAATTCTTACCTTGTGTGCCTAAGATATTGTTTATCGTTATAGATTTCTACCAAAAATTCTTTGTTTGCGTGATCCATAATTTTTATTATTTCATTTCTTTTACATATAAATTTTACATTAAATTCCATTACATTATTTTATAATATAAATTAGCTTTTCTTTTTGTGAAAATTCTTACTAAAATTCTTATTTGTGCTCTAATGACCCGCGAAACCTGCAAATAACGAATCGTAATTTAGATAGTTGTGTATATATAGAATAATTCTAGAAGGTTTGAGAGACAGGCGATGTATACTTTGAAGAAAAATAACTAATAAAATTATTTTAAACGACTACCTAACTACGTTTCGGTTTTTATTTCTTTGTTCTCTAACATAATTGAAGGTTTTAATTCTTTTGCCATAAAGTTGATGCATTTTGCTTGATTATTTGTTTAAAATTTGTTTTTAGTATTTTGAAACAAACCCATCTTTTTTATTTATTTGATTAAATATTAAATTGTGTAATGACCAGCTGTAATTATTCTTGATATTTGAATTTATGTTTTGTTAGTAAATAATTATTACTTTTTTTTTTAATTGAATCAAGTATTTTATTTCTAAACTTTATGCTCTCGCAATCTGTTTCTGAGATTACTGATAATGACATATAAGATAAATAGATAGTGTTCCAAGTTGTCAATCACGGATTATTTCAATTTCTTTGTAATATTTTATTAACTTTTTTTTAGTATATTTTTATGCATATTTAAATAATTAGTTTATAATATAAACATAAACGAAATAAATGAATAAGTCATCACCGCTATCATTACTTTCGACCATATGAAATTACTCTTAATTTTCATTTTCTCAATACATAAAGTCATAAAATTCATAAGCAGTTGGTCTGTTTTCTGGAATAGGATACTAACATTTTTCAATAAAAAATTTGCACCATGCGAGATTGGGGTATTTCGTGTGCATGTACTGATTAGTCAAAATTATGCAAGTGGTGCAATAATGATGGGATTACCGATAGAATCGTTATCGTTAAGTAAAATGTTCAGCGTAAAATCTTGTCTTTATCTTTCTATTAAATATGGTGTTTTACATCAATAAAACTAACGTTCTACATTACTACATGAAGAAATTTTGCAAATAAATATTTTAGAGCTATTTCACTAAAATATTTGATACGAAACTTGTTCTAAATCAAGTATATTTATTAAAGGAATATGCTTGATTTCTATTAACAACTGCCCATACATAGTATCATTATAAAGTATCGCCTGATATGAAATATATCGTTCCCGTACCTTAGACATCTTAATGCTGACCGAACTGATAGTGATTTGTCGCCCATAAATTTGGGGACGGTGCTTTCGTCAATTCTTGAAGCAACTCATTTGTGATACCATGATAGGTTAAAAAGATAGATAAAAAACTTTTAAATTTTACAATTAAAATATTCTTGCATCTTAACTTGAAATTTCTATTTTTATACGTAAAGGGATGGGAAAAAATTTTTTCATATAAAAAATTTTGTTTACAATCAAAACGGTCTTTGCATTTTAATAAACTGTCACCAGTCCTGTATTCTTTTTTTCAGATGAGCTTAAGATGATAGAAAAAATATGAATATGTATATAATTTGAAAATTTTCATATGTTTACTATATACATGTACAATGTAATTTTGAACCAGGCAGGCAATACTTTTTGTAATACATGTATACTGTATGATTTTTTGTAATACCGTTTTGTAATACCGATACCGATACGTGTGGATCTGAATTTCCGGGTCCCGCCACAATATACTTGCAATTTTGTTTTCTTAACAGCTTTAAATATCGATATTCATGCATTAATCGTAATTACACTTGTGTAAGAAATTGTTATTTAGGGAATATATTATAATAAGTTATGCACCACATTTTTTCAACTCTTTCCAATACTTGCTGAAAAATAAATATTAAATTTTTGTATTGAGTTACTTATCGTTATTGGTTCATCTGCACGAACTCATAGAAGGTACAAATATTTATTACATGTACATGTAAACAAGAACATGTTTATTTTTCACACCAAAATTCTATTCAAAATTAATTTTTAAACGTAATTTAAAGCCTTAATTTTGCACTTATCACCATTTCATTTACTTCTAAACCATTCCTACTAGCCAGTAAATTGTTTTTGGCCAGATCAAATATAAGGTATAGGTAAACTAACCAAGATACATAGGAATAAATGTGGTGATTACGATGGTAACCTTCTGACCTCCTGAAAGTTCAGCCTCATTTATAAATTTGATAATTCTATTCAATGAATTTTTATTACACAGTACAGGATATGAGTTAAGTATGGGCTCGAATGTAGTACATAGAACGAATAAACAAGCAAAGACAGGTTCAGTGAAAAAATTGACTTTGCGTTTCTGTGTAATGTTTTCTTGAGATTGTGAGAAAAAAGTTGAATTATGTACTACATGTTGTTATTATTATTATTAGTGGAGAATAGAACGAAAAAATTTTTTCCGTAGCATGTTTTTAAGTATAAAGGCGGCCAGTGCTAGCGGTATATTGTATGTTGTTTCTTGAATAACGAATTACATATACAAATGACTGATAAGAACATGCAGAACAATAAACAAGAAGGATCAAAAATTTTAGATTCAAATGATAATCTACCTTTTTCTCAAGTTTCTTCCGATAACGATAATCAACAAACCCAAACTTCAATAATAGCACATCCACCTAAAATATACACTCCATCAGACACAAATGAATTAGCAAATACCAATTCAAAAAAGAAATCTTGGTTTAACATCTCATCTAACGAAAAGCAACCTATCAAAACTACAAATTCTAAAATTTCAACAATTATCGTTATCGAAGATCCTGACTTGACGAAAGAGTGCAAAGCACATGGAGAGACCACTACGAAACAAGACAATGAAAACCTTTCGATCTCAGAAGAATCGATAATAGAGAATGATCCTAGAAATTGGAGTGCTGGCAGAAAGCGACTTATTTTATTTTTAATCGCGTTCGCTGGATTGATTTCGCCAATTGTGTGCACGTGAGTTTTTCTAATTTTGTTTGCGTTAAAATTATCGATATCTACAAGAAATTCGCAAAATATAGGATTTATTTTCCCGCTATTAACGATGTCCGAAAAAACTTAAATACGAGCGAAGTGTTGGCTAACTCTTCACGTAGGTATTTTTTTCATATACGCTATATGCATAAACTTATTCTATTATTGACATAATTTAAGGTTCACTGATCTTTATTTCTCGAACACATGTAGTTGCAATAGCCATTCTCTTTTGGGGAATCACGGTAATTTTATCAGAACTCTCTTTATAGTCATATTTTTCCAGTTTCCGACTTATTATGAAGCATAAGAAATTTAGTCACTACCTCTTTATAATTTCATATCCTGAGGTTATGATTACTGATTTTATGGATGTTCGACTGTATTTAATCTATTAATACAAAGCCACTAGGTTGGGCTTCATTCTCAGAATCGTACAGAACGCGAAGAAAAGTATACATTTTCTCTTTTACTCTCTTCGTTGTATCCTCGGCCCTATGTGCCATATCAAATAGCATCTGGTTCTTACTCGTAATGCGGGCTTTTCAAGCGAGTGGCGCGTCGGCTGCAATGAGTATTGGCGCGGGAGTAATTACCGATGTTTTTAGGATCGAAGGTAGGAAACGAATGAATGTCATCTTTTGCGATTGAAGATTGATTCTGTGTAAAGAGCATTTTCGAATATATTCAGAACGCGGAACTGCATATGGGATATTCTTTGTTGGACCTTTAATTGGTAAATATACTTCTGCTATTTCATAAGAGGCAATGTTGTTATTCATCTCGATGTACTTTTTTCTTTCTATACTTCTAGGACCGTTGATTGGACCTGTTATTGGGTATTAATAAACATCATTGGTATTGAAACGACTATTATTTCAATAAATGCTAATAAATGTCATTGTCTAGAGGATATCTTGACGAATATCTTGGTTGGCGGTAAGTAACACCAGACTGTTGATAAATATACGCTCGATCTTTCTAATCGTTTTTCTATACAACAGATGGATATTTTGGATGTTGGCAATAATAGGATTCGTCATACTACTCATAATTTTCTTTTGCCTACCTGAGACATTCCGTCAACAATCAACCATTCCAAAAAAAAGATTCAATCCCTTTACGCCTTTACTCTTACTTCGTTACCCATTCGTCTCTATAATAGTCGCGTATGTGAGCGCGGTCTGCGTGCCAATATTTATACTACAAACGCTTGTCTCAACTTCAATCGCTATGCAGTATAATCTTTCGTCTGCCAATATTGGATTAGTGCTGATCGCTAACGGAATCGGACTTATAATTGGATCGGTGCTTGGTGGTAAGTACTCGGATTGTGTACTGAGGCGCGCGAAAAAGAAGTATTGCGAGGAATATCCAGAGATGAGAATTCAGAGCCTTTGGCTGGGTGCTGTTATGTTTCTGGCAGGTATGTTGGCGTTTGGATGGTTAGTGCAAGCTAACTTGGCATTGGTTTGGGTTCTAGTGGCGATGTTTATAGGTAAGTCTAAATGTATTTGCACTTACAGTATTTATTCGATTGATATGTGTGATTCTTTAATCATGAGCCTTTTTAATTTTAGGCGCGATTGGCATGATGCTCGTGTTTTCCGCAACAGCCACATATTTAGTCGACGCATTACCCACTCAAAGTGCTTCCGCTATCGCTGTTTATCATTGTATGCGGTTAATCATCTCAGCAATTACTTCCGTTATTGCGCAGCCGCTCGACTCAGCAATTGGCACCGGTTGGACATTCACTATCCCATCGATTATTTGTATTTTCTGTACTGCCCTTGTTGCACTGATTCCTCATTATGGGCGACAGTGGCGCAAAAATATGCTAACGGTCGAAACTTAACCACATTGAAATAAAAAATTTTGTATACATGTATTTTTAGCAAATATTTATCTTTATCTTTAAATATATATGCACATGTACATGTATTACATGTATCATATGCGCCGTCTTTACATGTTGTGTAATTTTTGTACTACCCAAACAATATGCAATATCCAAGTGGGGATATTCGTAAACTACCGAAAAAAGGATATTTGCATACAAATTGTTGTTTAAATTATTGTCGGTATTAGAATTTTAGAATTTTATGAGTTACATTTGATATACAGCATAGGATATGTGACATTCAGGCAAAAATTAGCGACCTTTCGTATCGATATTTATTATCTATTTTTTGAATTAAATAAAAATTTTTGATATCGATATATTTTCTATTCATCATTATCTAACACCATCATAACCATTAGAATAAAATTTTCTAATAATATAAATTGAGAATCATCAAACGTGTAGGAGAGAAATATGGCACAAAGTGGAGAAAAAATAGTTTTAAATATTGGTGGAATAAGGGTAATTAATTTATTTCGTTCCGATATAAATTTAAAGTGTAGTTTTATATTAATTAATAAAAATAAGAAAATAAATATAGTACGAGACGAAACGTTCAACTCTAACAGCCTATCCAGACACTTTCCTCGGTTCAATGTTTCTTGAGCGTAATGCAGCGCTACTTCATCCAACAAAGGAAGGTGAATACTTTATCGATCGAGACGGTACCGCCTTCAAATACATAATGCAATTCTACCGAGACGGCAAGATCTCATGGCGAGATTTCTGCGATCGCGATCATAACATGCATATACCACAAATCTCCCGCCGCGAACTCGAAAAAGAGTTAGATTTTTACTGCATCCCAAAATCAGTGCTCAACGTCCCACCGAGCGTCGTAATCTCTGAACAAGTCGATGAATTCATCGCGATACTTAAAGACGTGATTTACGATTTGATCCGCCACATGCGTAACGAATGGACTTTGGAATTTTTCAAAAATGTGAATGGGAGTTCGACGACGCATAACAATATGAAGACACATAGTTTGAGTACAGTGAGGAGACATGCAGAGTTTTTTGATTTGGCAGGGTACGAGATCTTCGATATGTTCGGTGAAGAGATTCGACGGCATCTCGAGAAAGAGATTCCAAATTTGTGTTGTACTATTACCAAAGAGGATTTTATGCATCTACCGAAATATCGGTTCCACATTACTATTAATAATAAGCACAGTAGGGCGACTATTCTTGCGGAGACATGTCTTGCAGAATATTTTTGAGCGGAATTTTTGCTTGAGTATGATTTTAGATTTTTTTGTTTTTCAGATAAAATCAAAAGTTTTGTTTTAAATAAAAAATGAGCTCCTTTTGTTAGAATTTTTCTCGATCCTCAATATTCAAAAAACTCTTATTCACCATAAATTATTAACATACCTAAGATCATTATCATCAAATTATTTATTCATAGCAAAACATCATCAATCAAATAGAACAATCAAAATTTTCATTTTCTCTGTAAATCTTTCATAAATATACTTTTCGCATATATAGCAATTTTTTCATATTGAGATAAGATATTTACTATCGTTGAATATATGTAGTTTTTTTTCGAATCATCACACACACAAGACTCACAGATTAGACATCCTCCCGTTTACGCATCAATGATAAAACTTTAATCTCCAAACCAAGGATTCATTTTCTATTCTCAAACTGTCGTTTTCACATTCTCGCTTTTTTTGAAAAACCATTGTCCTCCTCCCCTAATTGTCTTTAATAATTCTAGGTCTCGATTAAAGTGCAGACAATACTGCATAAATATTATTTTTGCCCCTGAATAACCAATTTTTTTTTGGTTGAGTTGTCACACGTATTCATTTTAGGACTTGGTGTCACGACGAGACTAGTTGGTTATTTACACATTGATTAACTTGAAAACTATCTGTGTGGTATTGGAGGTGATTGTTGTCGTTAACGATTAATATCGTCAGGAAAAGCCAGTTTATAAGTCGAGTCTTACGGTGTGATATTCTTGAGAGATTAGACAGCAATTTGTGCGATGGCCGCTTATTTTAATCTTTCCAGCAAAGAAAACATGTTGTTCTTTTGCGATATTTTAGGGCTGTATCCGATATTTCTCAAGTTGAAGGGTTTTATCAACATATTCAAAATGATAATTGAAAGCCTCTTCTCGAATTGCCAACTAAAAAAAAATACGAGTTTATTAATTCGCAAATAATCTTCCCTCTCTTAACATGTAATATAATATAGTATTATTCCTCCTCCACACTTACCTTCAAATTCTGCAAAATAGCCATCACGTGAATTTATTAATTCGCAAAGGCCTTTTGGCAGTCAAGTTTTTTCGAATCTTGAAAAAAAAATTTGAATCGTGTCCAATTTATCATTCTTGGGTGACAAGTGATCGTTGTGTCACGAACATATCATCTGACTGTTTGCGTACACCTATACGAATCATCATGTACTCGGTGGTCAATCGGGAAATGATCTGCAATGTAGATCGCGAAATTTGTGATACTTTAATTTTATATTACTCGACCTCTTCATAAATATATTACAATAAAGAATATATCATTTTATTCAGTAAAAGTAGGGCTTTTATACATATAATTAATATCGGGTGGATACCCATTAGCATCAATTACAGCTTGTACTCTTCTCGGCATACTTTCAACCAAATTTCTGGTTTAATCGTTTCCCATTCCTCCGCAAGTGCATCCATCAATTCTTCTAGATTTTTGGGGTGAGTTGGACGTGCACGAATTCGTCTTTCCAAAACATCCCACAAATGCTCAATTGGATTTAGATCAGGGCTCTGGGCAGGCCATGGA